AAAAATTAACCGCTTTTAAAATCCAGGAGCGGAAAATTTCTAAAAGCTACTCGGGGCAAAAAAATCGTAAAACATCCGACCTTTTGCAGTGATAAAAATAAATCGACGGTACAAGACCGCAACCAAGTATCTCGGTTTACAATGTCGTAGACTTCCTGTCATACTTAATCTTCTAAATGGGAAACTATCGACGGCAACTCTTAAAAATTTCCGTGATTTTTTTTCTCTGTGCCAATGAATAAAATTTTGCGAAAACTTCAAGGAATGATGCTAATTTGTTCTCTTTGCTAAAAATAAAATAGGAGCGGAGATTTTCAAACACCGGAGACGAGAGTACATAGTTGTGGACTTACACCGTATATATGTAAAACGTACTCATTGAAGCCTCTCCCAACTTTATCACTTTTGAGGATCCCGCGTCGTCATTAGAGCGGAACTGAGGAGATCGATTTTTCAGATTGAATTTAGACTTTTTAGCTCTGCGCAACATCATTTAAAATCATTTTCAGGACTGAGCACCAACATTTCGACCGATAAATTTCATTTTGTCGATTTCTTTGGTCCCCTCGAACTATACTAGACTATAGAGTATAGAAAATAAAAATAAAATTGATGATTTGAATAACTATGGTTTTAGAACATTTGACAGGTGCTTATTTGTTTTTCATTTGTTAAAAAAAAATCATCGCGGCGACTGATACCGACAAAATTAGGGAATTAGATATATAAAATTCAATTGAGAGACAAGTTGTTATGGTGGTTTTTTTTTATTCCGTTTCCTTAAATAAGAATGATAGTAGAGTGGAAATAGAAAAAAAAATCTCTAACGTCCGAACACTTATAATACCCTGAAGAATCGAAATTTTTTTTTATTCTAGCCCCTGCAAATCCACCAAGAATCATCGTGCATGTCTGATGGATTTGTGTGCACAAATTGGCAACAATGCAGCTAAGAGTGGCGTGAGCCGCAGTGCTATCTGTTGGGCGCGCGATGAACTAACACAGGAGCCCGACAGGAAAGGAGCGATGCGATTCCTCTACCATACCGGGCATTTTTTTTCGCACAAAACGAATTGAAAGAACCGCCAGACACTAAGGTTCTCAGAAACATTTTCTCATGGGACGAATTTGTCTAGATCGTGGCATGAACAAAGTATTGAAGAGCAGTTTAAACAGATTGCTCAAGTTTGGAAATTTCAATCCACTCGGACCATCCGGCCTCTTTAGCTCAGTGGCAGAGCACTGGTCTTGTAAACCAGGGGTCGTGAGTTCGATCCTCACAGGAGGCAAGTTTTTGTGTATTCGGGGGCGCAAGTTGACGAAAAATGTAATACATTCACTGCATACAATATATACACGAATCGGGTCAACTCAGATAAAAGAAAAAAAGAGAAAAGGGCAGAAGTCCATAAAGTCAATTTTTCAGGAGCAGCAAAAAACTTCATGTTGGACACACAATTCGAATACCTAACTAAAGAAAAAAAATATTTTCCTATCGCGGAAGGCTTGTCCCGATTGTACTAATGAGAATTGAATCTCCTATAGAAATTTTGAACCTGCTTCTTTGGGAATTTTTTAGTTTTGATTTGGACTTCTACCCTTTTTGCATGTCACCAATATTTCCCTTCCCTATTAATCACCGTTAAAATGATGGACTTCCACCGTTCTTCGCAGAGTCAATGTATATGCATTAGAGGAGTCCAACAATGCAAAAAAGTCGATTTTGAAAAATTTGGACTTCCGTCCTTTTCGCATGTCTCGATTCAAATAAAAAAAAGGCAGAAGTGTCCGAGCAAAATTATTCCCTTGAAGGGGTGGTGGTAATATTAATGGTGCAATATGGTAGACAAAATGTGCCGGTTTTTTACTTGGCTTATTTCATTGAGTACAAATCTTAATGCATCACTGCTTACAAAAATTAGTTGGTTTCAATAAAATTTGGGGTGGGCTGGGAGGGTGGGGGTGTGGTGGTGTAAGTTGTACAGTCAATCCGGATTTGAGTCTTGTTTACTTTAAACTCCTGACAAGTATCTTTCAAATCAAAAATTGTTAAATAAAAAGTTTGAGTCATTTAAGACAATTCACAGTCACTGAACGCCTTTTTTTCATCAAAGCAGGAGTAACAGGCAAATTTTTCAAAACCTATCGTTACACCATCTATTTCCTCCAAAAATGTGTTCAAAACAAAAATGCAAGAACTTAAAAAGTACCTATTCAGTGTCCTACTATAACCCAAAGAGAAATACTTATGATGATAATAAAGTGCTTATAATGAGTGTGACAAAAGTTGATAGGAAGTATAATAATTGGATAATATTGATACTTTAACATTTATTGATGAAACTTTTACATACAGTGATATTGTGTACTTGCGTTAAAAATTATGGTTAATGTTGATTTTTTCCTTCGATTCTTTAATTTATACAACAAACAAACATATTTACACAAAGAATATTGTACAAGCATGCCAGCGCATTTTAGAAGGATACTAAAATACATTAAGTAAATATTTTGGCGCACATTGTTTCAAAAAGCTACACTGTAAGTTTTTGAGGGAAGTCAGATGAAAAATAAAAAAGTAACAGTTTGACAGTATAACTAAAAAATAATTCTCCAAAAGGGGGGAAAAAATTGTCATCTGGGGATGGATAAAAGTAACGATAAAGTCTGATGTGATTATGAAAATACAAATTGCAAGGGGTAAAATTCTGTGACTTAGCTTGAATAGGCATGCCAAGGATCATCAACTTGGCATAAGAAAGAAGAAACTTAGCAAATTTTGTCTTGAATTTTAATATGTTAAACATTCAATTACCTATCCTGACTGTTATTATTTGCCGTATCTTTTAAGCACTCTTTTTCACATAGGTATTTTTCCCCCTTTTATTTTTTAAATTAAATGATTACTTCAAGTATCTTGAAATACCAGCATTATTATTTTTGCAAATTACAAGGACATTAAAATTTAAGAATGCGGGTCTCAGTGCAAGAACCGATCTTTCCATGGGCATATGCTACAACTCAGACCGTACTTAAGGCACTTTCAATGAGGCGATGGGTAGATAACTTTCACTGGACTTAGCGGTAGAAAGTTCATGGAATCAACAACGGCCACCTGGCTGAATAGGTGCACGGAATGCATGCAAGGTATGAGCAGCTCTTGGTGCAACACATACGCCATCTTGCAGCACTACACATGGATGCACGTGTTTTGCCCTCCCCCTCCCTTTTTCGGGTAGTCTTACATTTTCAAGCCTTATGTGCAGTCTGAATTGCATAATGTACCAATGAATCTTTTCAGCTAAAATCACATCCTTTATGAGAATTCAATATGCGCCTTGAAAAGACTGAACAAAGTGAATGAATTCAACAAAAATTTGGCACTTAAAAACAGAATATATTAATAAGTTTCAAAATGACACAATTTTTATAGAGTCAATTTGTATCCCTTCTTTGCGGAAGAAAAAGAAAATGAAATTAAATCAAAAGTTAATTAAAAAAATAATAAAAAAGACGATTGCTTGAGCTCAGTTTGTTGACATCAAACTGAACTTTTCTTTTTTTTTCTAAAAAAAAAAGGTTCAGAAGCTACATTATTTTATTGAAAACAGGCAAATGTCAAGACACCTCTTGGAAAGCATTCAAAGGATATGAAAAGCAATAAATATTTGCTTCCGCCATTAGATTCTATATTGGAGAATTTTTCATGAGTTTATACAGAAACAAATATTACAGATAATTCGAAGCTGTGTAATCTGTTATAAGACTTACACTTTCTTTTGCAAATTGTTCACTTAAGTGTTCTGTTCATCAGTTTTATCTATTAAGTACTTACTGCTCATAAGTAATTAATGGATCATAAGATTACACCATTACAATTGTTGATCTCGAGGTATTTTTTAAAGACAGTAGGAACTCATGTAAAAAATACTAATATAGACTGAACAGCCACTTAGAAAGCCTTGAAAGTTAGAATAATAGGAGATTTTTACGGGCATAGTGGAATACCAGGGGTGATACATACTTCACAGGCTCAAAGTTTGGAGCGGAAAATACTAGAAACTTCTTTCTTCTCAACTCAAAAATCGGATTTTTTGCCTGAAATCTCAATAGGTGAAATTCACCTTCTTTATAGACTGGCATCATTCAGAATAAGGAAAATTCCTAGTGAGAGCTAATGATCATATGGCTTGAGGCTCTATTTCTTGATGGGAAATAATTCACATGAGTCGTTTCCAAAATAATTACAAAATATGTGATTTTTCATGATTAAATCGTCTTGATTTGCATGTGATGGCTCTGATCTGATTTGTCAGTATAGCGGATCAGTACAGTCAACTATTTCAGATCCAGAATCAGATTACATGTGTGCGAAAAACTAAGCTATTACAATCTTAATGCTGATTTTTTGTGGCACCAAGAGATTAAGAAACTTATTGACAATTAAATGATGAGTTTCAGTTTTAGCAAAGTTTTCATGGGAAGAGACCGATTTCACTGCGTAAACTTTTTTCAGTTGTGGGTAAGAAGTGAGTTTTCAACAAATGAATTTGCTTTAAATAAATGATCAACTGGTCTATTAGTGATATTAATCTGTAGACCTATACTTTAGCTCGGAACCTTATATATAT